GTAGTTATTATTTTTTTGGTGTTCCCTTATTAGAAGTCCGTACCAGCTTAACTGTTATAGTTAAAAGTTTACAATTTTCACAAAAGCTTTGGTATTGCTTTGATGCCGCAAGAGCACGATTCGTCAAACGTTCCCTATATGAATCTGTATCAATAGAATCTTATACCGATATTTTAGCATAACCCTGCATCGTGAGAGATCCGGGAAGATACAAATTCACACACAAACAGGCCAAAGAATTCCTCTACTTATTTCCCACTTAAAGTGGATAGCTATAAAAGTGCCATCTACTTTGATGGCCATAAACTAACACGATTTAATAATATATTTTTGTTTTTCTTGAGCTATTTATTTGAAATTTGCAAAAGTTTATGATTTCAGCAAACATTAAATAAAATTTAAAAAAATCTTTCCTACCATTATATTATTATTAATGTGAAATTTTTGCGACAGCCAATAATAATATTGTTCTGAAGCTATTTTCTTGTGGCATTGTAAATTAATTACTATTTATAACTGGGAATAAGCCACATTAAAGATAAAAATACATTTATTGACGTTTCAATTTCCAATTCGGAAATCCTAGATATAAAAAATAGATTTCCGAATTGGAAATTGAAACGTCAATAAATGTATTTTTATCTTTAATGTGGCTTATTCCCAGTTATAAATAGTAAGCCAATAATAAGTTGTCTCTTCTTTTTGTTGCATCAGATCATGACGTTTTTAACTTACTCTATTGCTCAGGTTATATTCGTTTTCGAGAAAGCAAGCAGAGGCAATTAAAAAATGCCTTTTACCGCTTTCGGGTGAATTTTCTTTTTCGCAGTTGCAAAAACCATGTTTATGACAACTTTGGAATGCAAATAAATTTATCTAAACTATAAATGATGCTTTTGATAAGTAATGGGTCTGTGCACAAATAACAAAGTTACTTTATTCATCTTAGCCAGTTGCTTAGGGCTCTATTTGCATTTCCAAGCTGTTGATGAACCATGTTTCCAAGATGAACTCATGTAAACTTCAGAGTAATTACTATATATGCGTTATACATTTAATCTGAATTTTCACCAGTATTCTTGTTATCTGTTCTTTTATTATTTATTATTGTTTTTTATAGTATAGTAAACTACTAGAAACTATCTTTCTAGTAGTTTACTGTATAGTTTTTTACAAATTACTAAAAAATCCAAATAATGCTATATTTAAATATGGTATTATGTATTTAAGTTTGAAATATTGCGAATATTGTGGTGTAAAATATTAATAAAAATTTATAGGCCATACCATTCGACAAAATGATGGTATAATATATTATAATAGCAGATATTTTGGAAACCAGGTGAGTACAAAAGTTACAGCTACAGGTTAAAGGTTACAGGTAGAATACAAAAAAAAACAGAAGACAAAATGAACAGAAGAGATGGAATAACGATCTTAAAACACGCTTGACCAAGATAGATAAAAACAGCATTCTTGCCTGTCCTTTACCGAAACAAGGTCTGCTTAAAGAAGGCAAGGGTAGACCTTTATGTTTATAGGCACAATATAAATCAATTTTATTAAATTACTAGCTATACCGGCGAACTTCGTACAGTCTAGAATTAATACATATTCTGATAAATTATTGACTGAGTTGTATTAATTTTTTAATATATCTATATTTTTTATAAATAATTTATATTAAGATCAAATTAATTAAGTTCAATAAGTCCAAAAAGAGCTAATTCACGTGACAACAAAGTAACCATTTGCTGAATAAATTCAGCATCCGTGTCGGTAATTTTCGTTGAAGGACATTGTGACATATTACATTTTTCATTGTGTTGTCAGGTGCAAGAATGAAGAAAGTGGATGGTTTGCCTGCACGACAACATACTAAGTACAATTGGCAATGAGAGAAACAATTATATTCAGTCCGCAAATATTCAAGGATGGGGTTCTATGATTTGTGTTTTGGCATGGGGATTACAGCATTACAGGACGAATCGAATATTAAATTAGTTTCAATTCTAATGGAATTCTTCTTAGGGTGCCTGTCCGTTCCGAACGTTGGCGATCATACTGGCTATGATTACTTTGTTGGTTCCTATACGAAATAGCTGTGTTGAGGTCTTTCTATACCATGTTCTCAGGTTAGCAAGCCAGGATATTCTTCTGCGTCCTGGGGCTCTTTTTCCTTCAATTTTGCCCTGCAAAATGCATTGAAGTAGCTCGTATCTGCATTGATTTCTCATTATATGTCCCAAGTACTCCAGCTTACGGCTCTTCACGATGTTGACCAAATCCGCGGTTGTGTTCATTCTCTGCAGTACTTCTTCATTTTTGGCTTTGTTTGTCCATGGTACCTTCAGGATCCTTCTGTATAACCAGAGCTCAAAAGCCTTAAGTTTTGATAGAGTTTCCGCCTTTAATGTCCACTTTTCTACTCCGTACAGAAGCACTAAGTACACGTACTATTTAAGAAGCCTTATTTTTGTTTCTAGGGTGAGGTCATGGCTCTTGTACACAGATCTCATAGTCAAGAATGCACTTTTTGCCTTTCCGATGCGACATTTAATCTCTTGGGTATTGTCCCACGACTCAGTGATTATAGTTCCCAAGTAGTTGTAGTGTGAGACACGTTCAAATCTCATTTGGTTCACATACAGATTTGCTCCAGTTATGTTCATTAGCTTGGTTTTACTGGTGTCTATATCCAGTCCATATGTTTTACATGTATCCGTTATCTTGTTTATTAAGTTTTCCAGTCCTTCTATGGTATTGTTCTGAAGCTATTGGAAAACACTATTGTATCATCTGTTTACAGCAGGTTATTAAGCTTGACTCCATTTATTGGGATGCCTTTATCAATATCTTTTAGAGCCTCCTTAAAAACGTGCTCCGAGTATAGAGTAAATATCAGTGGTGAAATTTTGAACCCCTGTCTCACTCCCCTTAAGATTTTAACCTGATCTGTATATTTTCCATCTATTCGGAACAACGTTGATTGATTCCAATACAGGTTAGCTATTATTTTTAAGTATTATCCGTCAATCCCTGTCGAAAGCCTTCTTGTAGTCAATCAGGCATGCAAAAACATGACAGTTGACATCTCTACATTTCTGAAACAATACCTGCACACTAAATAAAGCTTCCCTCGTACCAATGGACCAACGGCGTTCACAAATCCAAACTGATTGGGCGCAATTTGTTCCTCACATTTCCGGTACATTCTTTTGTGGATGACTTTTAAAAATAGCTTCAGCAGGTGACTCATTAGGCTTATGGTCCTAGAATCTTCACAAACTTTTGCTCCTGGTTTTTTGGGCAATGATACGAACTCCGATTTGAGCCATTTTTATTTATTCTGCATCTAATAGGTTTAACAGTTTTGCAGCAATTTTATCAAGTCCCGGTGCCTTTCCATCCTTCATTTGTCTGACGGCTGCCGTTATTTCTTCTGGTAGGATTTCGGGACCTAAATTTTCTTCAATGGGTTATCGGTTGGCATCATCAGAATTCTAGGAATGAGAATTTCCTTATCGTTGAATTTTCGTTTAAGTATTCGCTCCGTGCGTGACCATGGTAGGGGTACATTGAAACGATGCCAGCGTGCGTAGCGACGAAATATGACAAAATTGGAATATTGGACAAAATATTTTTACGCATAAGTTTTATCAAAAATGTGTGCAAATACATGTTGCGTATTTAATTCTGCTAATAATAGCAAAAACAGTGAGTGTAGTTTTTATAGGTTCCCAAAGATTACATACAAATTAGGGAAAATAAAAAGATGAATTCGTGCTATTAATATGAAAACGTAAATATCACATAATTTCATTTTTATGCAATTGAAATAGGAAAAATTTAAATAATTTACCTTGAATGATATTTCATAAGGCTTCAATCTAACTGCAGATGACTTTAGCTTTTATATCATACCTTTTACTATTATTGTTTTTAATTATATGCTCTTTCACGTGAAAAACTTGATTTGCCAGTACTAAACTTTTCCCTTTCTTTTCCGTTTGGAGTTGAAATGATATGTTATGATGAATTTTGAGAAACTCAGTTTTTAATACTACATTTATTTTGTACATAAACTGAAAAAATATAGTTAAAAAACTAATTTATTAATAATTGTCAATTTCGCATGTATTTAACAATGTCAAACATATATCATATATTTAACCTGAAAATTGGGACTCCAAAATTGTCAGTTGAAGGCGGTAGGTGTCGCATCAGTCACGCACGGAGCGAATAGTCGCGTGTATTATATTACCTATGACTTTTTATACGGCGAAATGTGCATCGACTCACAAACATTTATCAACAACAATCGCAAGTAGCATTCGCCACTTATCCGATGAATTGTGTCAATGTAACATTGAGATAATTCATCATTCATAACATTGACATAAAAAGTACATTTCAGGATGATCAGCAGCCGCTTCGTCTTTCTTCCTACGTTGAATTTTCTTTTGAAAGTTGTTGCAGTGTTACCATCAATTCCTGAAGTTAGCTCTTTAATCAAGAATAAGTTTTTCATCGTGAATTTTTAGGATACTTTAATGGTTATTATACTGTTTGGAGCTGAGAGGAATGCAAAACACCCAATATCATTAAAATCGGTAATGACAGCTAATTGCTCTCTATCTTGAGCTGTTCTTAGTATCGAATGTGTGTCCATGCCTGTCCAGTCTCTTACATTTTTCAGCCAGACGCATTTTCTTTTTTCTAGACCTCTTCTTCCTTCCACTTTCCCTTTTATTATCAGTCGTAGGAAGTTGTATTTTCTCCTCTGTAAATATGTCCTAGATAACTCGTTTTTCTGGTTTAATATTTATTAGTTCTCTCTGTCCCCATTCTTCTCAGCACCTCATTGTTGGTCTGTTCAAGAAATAGTGAAGGCGGCAAAGACTCACCCCGAGTTGTAAATCCAGTCAAGAAGAAGAATTTTATATAACATATAAATATATATATATATATATATATATATATATCTTTTGATTTTTCAGGAATGACTGTTGGTATGTTTTTACTAGCCATTAACAGTTGTTTTGACACATCTCCATGGTTCTTTATGATCAGCGATATACCATCAATGCTTACTGGAGGGGGTACTACATATTTTACAGTTGTTTTGGCCTATCTTTCTGATTTGTCCACGGAAGAAACTAGAGGAATAAGGTAAGAAAAATGAATTACAATATTTAAGTTTAATACTGACAATTACAGACATATGTTTTCAGTTTAAAACACACAATTACATCAAAAACTGGACAATTAGTAATTACTTGAAAACTTCATCATCATCATCATCATCATAGTACTACAGTACATTGTTTCTTTTTATCTGGATTTGGCTCATTGTACCTTTCCGAATAATTAAATTCTCATCCAGCACTCGATAGACCTTTTATTTGACCTGGCGTATTCAAGGCTCTTGTAACAAGGCGACATCAAACTCTCCCCTGGCAAAGGAAGCTGTGTTAGTGTGCTGAAGGATTTCCTGTAGGACCCTAATTGAGATTTATTTGGAACAAAGGCAGACGCCGCGACTGGTATTGTCTCACTGTCGGTTCCATCTAAATTTTTATTTGTAGAGTAAGACGTATCACTCATCCTCACTCAAGGTATAAACCACGAGTCACGATGAAATGCTGTTAGACGAGGCAGCCGTACCATGCCTATAATCCCACAGAGTTAGGATTGATAGTACAGCTCTAGTTAAGTTTGACCACTCTTAGTTTGGTTCCCTATTCGTTCCTCATTTACGATCCTGTTACCACAGTCTTAGCTTGCTTCCACTCCAATTTTCAAGAAATTAGGATATTAGGATTCGTATAAGAGGATAATTTTCATTTCCTCTTGACAAGTAGCTGCACATTTGTTTTACATATTTTTATGACAGATATTAGATCCCTCAAGATGGTAGAGTGTTTAGAGGAGCAACGTGTGGCAGTGACCATTATAACCTAGGATCCAAAATAGCATTTCCAGAAAGAAGATATTGCACAGATGAAGTAAAAAGAAACAAGAAAAGTTATCAAAAACTGAACTAAGAGGTACAATTTACAAAGCTGGGACCAAGAAAGTGTGCAACTGATACAAATCTAGACTAAACAGCAAACTTAATACCGCAATGTTTAACAGTTACAAAAGGATTAAAGCAATGATGCTGCCTGTTCTTCACACTTTTTAAGACATACCTAGAGAGGGTCATACCAGAACAACGGAGAGAAATTGCCCTGGATAACACCGAACTTTACACTCTAGGTTATGCACGTGATCGGATGATAATGGCCCAAAAATATCATGATCTAGAGTATATGGCATGAAAATTCATACAAGAATATAAAGAATGGAGTTTAGAAGTGAATATGGAGAGACTAAATACATGTATATTGGATGAGAACAGCAGGAGCTATATATATAAGATGGACAGCGAATTAAACCATGTAAGAAATAAAATTACATTGGTTAGCAAATTGCAAACAACAGTATATTAGACGAAACTATCAGAGGAAAACTCAGGGCTACCTCACAACTAATAATTATTCCATTGCCAAACGACACACAAGGACAACAAAAGAAGAATTCACAACATCATCATTAAAAGCATAGTTATGAATAGCTCGGAAATGTGGCAAATAAAGAATAAAATAGATAAAATTCTTAAAATAACAAGAATAGATTTCTGGCGATGTTCAGCTGAAAAGTCAAGGCAAAAAAGTGTCACAAACGACAACATAAGGGAATTTTTTTTAATTGTTTTTAAATACAATCTGTTATATAAAAAGTAACACTGAAAATTTCTGTTAAACGAACATATATAAGTAACAGTTTTAGTCCCATGACTAAATAAACTCCTAGTGAGTTCATTGCTAACACCTAAAACAAGTTGTCAATTTTACTACTAACTCGTTGCGGTGGTTTTCCAGTCGTTTAAAATATTTATCAATGCTTTTAACGATGATTTGTTTTACTGTTTCGATCTGTAATTCCCTGTAAATTCTGAATTTGGATTAAACCATGGCGCATCAGTGATTGCACGAAAAACTTTAGATTTCTTAGAACCAATAGATCTAGTATTGCTATGTTGCTATTTGCTGCAGTTTTAATTATGTGTATGTTTTCTTGTAATACCTCAGCTGCTTATAAGGGTTTTTGACCAGAATTTCAGTATTGTCTGTGAATGTTGCGATTGTGGATACTTCACCAGTTAAGAAACTAGTTGTAAAGATTTTCTAGAGAATTGATGCCAAGACGATGCCTTGAGGGGCCCCTGCATTTATGTTGTGGATGTTGGATACACCTTTTTCGTATCTTGCATAAAATAGTCTTTCTTCGAGGTTAAATTTTAGTATCATGTATAGCGGCTAAAAGATTGCTTTTTTCAGTTAAAATAGTAATTCTGAATGCCAGACGTTGTCAAATGCTTGATTAACATCCAGAAAAATGGCATTGCAAATGCTTGTTTGCCGGAAGGCTGATTGTCTTTTTTCTACCACTCAATTATATTGTTCAGTTGTGCCGTGTTTTTGGTAATAATTAAGTACAATACTGTTGTTCTGTAAACCAATAATCAGTCTACTTTGCAATGACTTTCTCTGCAACTTTGGACATGTACTTGTAATAAACTGATGGGTTAGTATGAGATAATCTCATGTGAAGGACTTCCTAGTGGAAATCGCAATGATTTCCGCTAGCTTCCATTATACAGGAAAGTTGCCTGTTCTTAGTATCGAGTTTATGATTTATGTTAGACTTAACGCAGAATATGTTAAAACAAAACAATTAAGGCGTTTATTTTAGAAACAACATAAGTCCAAAATTAAGTGGCACTAAAATATCGGTATTTCTGTAAAAATGACATAATATGTCCTATTCGTTTCTTTTAAAAACTACATAGGTCCATGTACTAATGTTATTTTTAAAACAAACTACGCCGAGAGAACAGCCCATTAGTAAGTACCGGACGACTTCGACACGCATGGCCGGCGAGTTCTCATTCTCATAGGTCCGTTCTCCCATTGTAGACAGGCAGAGACTTGTCAAATTTTTTAATAGCGTTGTTTTCTTATTACGGAACCGTTGTGTTGTTAGTCTCATGTTATATTTTAAGTAGTTTCTTCATTTTTGCACTATAAGTTATGAATATGGAGAATGCAGCAGCAAGCAACAGTTTTATAATATGAACAATAAAAATGAGCAAGACTCTCATTTGTCTGGTCTAATAACTATAAAACCAGTAAATAGACGCCGCTCGAGAAATAGAAATGTGGGTACTGAAAAACTACATGCTGCAGGATATGCATTCAAAATAAGATATGATGGAAACAAAGTAGAAGTCTGTAAAGAGGCATTTTTGGGCATTCATGGTATAACTGTTGGTAAACTTAAACGCATACAAAACCATCTGGTCACACGAGGTATGGCACCAAGGGATTTAAGAGGAAAAGATAAGAAAAGGTCAACTGATTATTCAGATACCGTAATTCATTTAATCAAGGAACATATTCAGTCTTTTAAACCAAGGCAATCCATTACTAACGACGCAAAAACCCATTTCGTTTTTACCTGCCAGAACGTTTAACCATAAAAGACATACATTCCATCTTTCGATCTTAATACCTGATCAATATACCTTATAGAATCTACTGGAAAATATTCACATCCAACTTTAATATAAAGTTTGGTTTCCCACGATCCGATACATGTGCTCAGTGTGATTCGTTCCAACAAAAACTTACTTCCGAAGGAATCAACGATGATGAAAAAGTCCAAATAACATTGGAAAAGGAGATTCATTTAAGAAAGGCTGATGCATTTTTTACAAGGAAAAGACGATACAAGACACAGACTATGGGTGGAGAAATCGATTGTATTAGCTTTGATTTCATGCAGAATCTACCTCTTCCCTATATTCCGTCAAATCCAGTTTTTTATTCACGTCAGTTGTGGTACCACGTATTCGGTATACACAATCTTGGTGCAGATGAGGCATTTATTTACACCTACACTGAAGGACAAGTGAAAAAAGGTGCCAACGATGTGTGTTCCATGTTGTTACATTTTATTAACAATAATAACTTTACGACAAGGAATCTTGTACTAATAAGTGATGGATGTCCTGGGCAAAACAAGAATTATGTTATGTTGCACTTTTTTTTTATTCTTGTCCATGTACTTAAACTTTTTGACACAATTAAGTACCTGTTTCCGGTTCGGGTCCATTCCTATCTCCCAAACGACCAGGACTTCGCACTGATCGAAAAAAAAAAGAAACCCATTTGGAAAGAGTGGAGACACCTGAAGAGTGGGACAAAGTAATATTGCCAGCACGAAGTAAACCTTCCAAATTTTCCTTAGTCAAAATGTACCCCTCAAAGTTTTTTGACATAAAGCTACCCACCGATCAATATTTTCTGAAAACAGCTAAACCACCTATTTCTCTAAAACTAGTGCGCATGTTCGAAATTACTGCAGAGATTGCTGTAGTGAAGTTGAAGGATACCTACAATGGTCCATGGAGATCCTCTATTGTCAGAAGTAGAGTAGCAACAACTAGTTTAGTAAAACTCACACCAAGTTATTTGCAAGTGATTTCATCTGCTAAACTAAAAAATTTAAGGGATCTCTTACCGTATTTAGGAAATGCAAAAAATCGAAGCTTTTATGAAGGTATTTTTACACGACAAAATCTGCAGCACAATGATACGTTAGAAATCGATGAAGATGACAACTGTAGTGGTTTAGATGAATCCTAATTATTTTTTTGTAACTTAAAATTCAATAAAAACTTAAGTTTATAACATTACTTTTACTTTATTTTTTATATTTTACTTTATATTTTAACTTATATTCGTCACTGTACGATTTAAAAGTTTTTCGAAATATGGTAATAAACTCGAGAGAGCGTTTTTTTCATTTTCTACAAAAACAAAATTTTGGACTTATGCTGTTTCTAAAATAAACGCCTCAATTAATTTGGTTTGGCCATGTACACAGAATGGTTGAGGTTAAGGAGCGACTGCTGAAACGAATTCTAAAATGGAAACCCCATATAAGGCGAAAGAGAGGACGATCTAGTCGAAGTTAGCCAGAGGGTGTCGACAAAGACACGCGGAAGAGGAATCTGGAAGATTTTTTATATATACATTTAAATTATACATACATCATACGTG